TTGTTTGCAAGATTTACATGGTTCTTCATGGTCAGTTTGGAGTCAAATTTCACCCCAAGGATATCAGCTTCTTCCCCAGGTGCCAACACCCTCCCATTCATCCTTACTATTGCACCGGCATTACTACCATGGTGCCTAGAGACCATCATCATTTGTGTTTTCTCAGGTGCAAATGTTACTTGCCATCTGTTTCCCCAAGCTGATTTAACTCTTAGCTGGTGATTGATATAGCTTATAGAAGCAGGCATTTCTTCTCTTGGATAAGTGAATGTCAGTGTACAGTCGTCTGCATATGCATGGGATTCTGAGATGAGATGAAGAAGGTCATTGAAGTAGACATTTCATAAAAATGGTCCCAGCATGCTTACTTGTGGAACACTTGCCCCAATAGGATGTCTTGCTGATTCCGTTCCATTGAGAACTACCCTTACAGATCTACCATGGAGGTAATCACTGAGGAGACGTAGCACAGAGCCTGCAATTCCCAGAGCTTCCAGTTTTGCTAAGAGGCCCTGGTGCCACACCCGGTCGAAAGCACCAGCAATATCCAGTGCTACCACACAGCTGACTTTGGATTCACCCAGTGACTGGCGCCACTTAGTGGAGAGGTTTAACAACAGATCAGCAGCAGAGTAACCTTTCCTGAAGCCATATTGACGGTCACAAAGTAGCGAGTGGTAGTCAAAAAACTGTCATTTGTCTTCAGATTATTGTCTCAAGGATCTTACCAGTGATTGACAGGAGTGACACTGGTCTATAGTTGCTGATTTCTGCTCTGCTCTTCTTTTTGTGAACAGGGACTACATTTGCCTCTTTCCATAGAGAGGGCCAATTACACTGTACTAGGCAGTGCTGAAAGATGTGAGTTAGAGGTGCTGCTAGCAGGTCTGCACATCTTCTCAGCAATCTTGGGCTTAACTTGTCTGGGCCCACAGCCTTTTCTTGGTCAAGCGATTTAAGAAGGAAATGCACCTCCTCCTGCCTTACTGTCACCACTGACAGTTTTGACACAGTTCTTGCAGCTAGTCAAGGAGGGTCCCTTGCTAGATCAGGAACTTGCATTTTGGTAGAAAAGTGTTCGGCAAAGAGGTCCGCCTTCTCTTGACTACTAGTAGAGGTGGTCCCATCCTGTCTATTTAGAGGAGGAATGAGTTCATCAGGCAGATAACCTTGTCTGTCCTTGACCAGGGACCACCAAGTTTTGGAGCCTACCCTACCTGATGCTAGCTTTCTTTTAGTGTCCTCCTCCCATTTAGCAATGGCCCACTTTTGAACGTCACCCATATGCCTACAGGCTTGCCTGTGCAAGTTCCTGTTATAGGTGGTATGATGTCTCTTATACCTTCGCCATGCTTTGTACTTAGCAGTAGCAGCCTCTCTACAATGAAAGCCAAACCAAGGCTGATCTGTAGGCTTTGTCACACATTGCCAGTGAGGAATGTGTTCTTGTTGTAGATTAAAGATGTGTCCAGTGAAGGCTTTCACTTGGTTGTCAACATCCCCTTGGAGAAGAGCATTCCAATCGGTGGTGGAGAGCTCAGAGCAAAGGGCTGGCCAATTACCTCTTTCCCATAGCCAGGTTGTGCATGTGGACTCCTCACCTTGTTCTGTTGGGATCTTAAGTGTCGTAAAAACAGCCATGTGGTCAGATGATGCAACGTAGCCGAGGGGTTGACAAGTGACTATGCCTTCTGCCAGATCACTCACTACTGGGTCAAGGGAGGAGCCAGGGATGTGAGTAGGGAAATCAACAAAGTTTCTCATGCCAAATACTGCAAGAGGGTCATCTAAGTCCCTCTGTATAAGGTGTTGGGTGAGGTCACCAACAATTATATGTTGACGTTTGTGTAGTAGCAGAAGGGAGTCCATATTTTCCATTAGGAAGTTGATGGGGTTTGCATGTTGCCACTGAAGTCTGTACATTGCACATACTAGTACAGAGGTACTAGTGTTTATGCAGAGCTTGAACATCATTCCAAGATGAGTAGGGATGGCAACATCAATGTGCTGGGCATGAACACTTTTAGAGCAGCACACAGCAACACTTCCTCCTTGCCCTTGCCTGTCCCTTCTTATCCATGAGGTGTAGCCAGCAATTCTTGCAAAATTTTCTGGAGTCCTGTCATCCAAAAATGTTTCAACAACAGCTATCATGTTGGGACATCGAGTGTTCACAAAACCATGTGTGAGCTCTCCAACATTAGTAATGAAACCTCTAATGTAGGCCAACAGGATGTTGATAGACTGGCTCCTCATGATGTGCTCAGCTTGAGGTGGTGGGTGTGTAGGGCATGTAAGGTGCCTGCCCTTGAGGTAGGGTACTGAGGAAGCTGCAGGGATGTAGGTCTGTGGTCTTGTATAAGGCACAATACCACCTGCTGGGCTGAGATAGGAGTAGCTGAGTGGGTGACGTGTGAGTGTGCTCACCAATTCAGAGATTCTGCTGGTTTGTTCCAAGAACAGGTCTCTAAACAGGTGGTCCTGTCTGTCAAGTTCCTTTTTCTTCTGACACTTGTCCTCCTGATGTCCTTTCTTGTAGCAGTAATTGCACCTGGTATCTCGCAGGCAGTTGTAGGTGGTGTACCCCTTCCGGTGACAGCGAAAACACTGCCTAGGTGCCTGGGAGGGTGGACTATTATTTGTTGCACCTCCTGTGTTTTGCTGATTTGTCCTCAGGTTCTGTCGCTGGGACTGTGTTAGTGGAGGGTGAGACGGCTGTAGATGTCTTCCTCCTCCACGTCCTCTTCCATGTCCTCTACCCAATCCTCTACCAGTTCTGACAGATGTGTCCCTGCTGTTGATATTTTGGCACAGTAGGTGTTCAGATGCAGTGATAGTTCCCTGATTATTAAGTGCACCAACCTCTGGTGTAAAAAATCCTGACTCACTCTCACTCTCCTCCCTCTCTCTCTCTCTCTCTCTCCTCCCTCTCTCTCTCTCCTCCCTCTCTCTCTCTCTCCTCCCTCTCTCTCTCTCTCCTCCCCCTCTCTCTCTCCTCCCCCCCTCTCTCTCCCTCCCTTCAAGGGAGGGTCCTTGATGCTGGTAAGGGGCTCTTGATCTAGGGAATTGGATCTGTGCTCCAATTCCCTGAATTGAGCCTGAATGCTTCTCATCCCCCCACATGCACTGTATAATCCTACAGGTTTAGCACTCCCCCATGATTATAATAATAATCCCCCCTCTCTCTCTCTCTCCTCCCCCTCTCTCTTTTTCTCTCTCCTTCCCCCCCTCTCTCTTCTCCCTCTCTTTCTCTCTCCCTCTCTCCTCCCTCTCTTTCTCTCTCCCCCCCTCTCTCTTCCCACCTCTCTTCCCCTCTCTCCCCCTCTCCCTGCCTTTCTTACCAGCTTCCTTCCTTTGATCAATGAAGCTAAAACATTTGGGTAACTTTAAAAGTATTCTGGAAAAACCTACGAGTGAAAAAAAGTTGGATATGAGTAAAACCCACCTAGCATGGGTCAGTAGGCCTACTCCTCTATTTTATGTTTTAACCTCTTGACTGTCACAACCCCAAATCCTGAGGTGTGTCCTGGTGTCGCAAAATTTCAGAAAAAAAAAAAAATCTTTTGAAATGATAGAGAATCTTTTCCCGATTGTAATGACACCAAAATAAAGAAATTTGATGGAAAACTGACGGAATTACGCTCTCACGAAGTTAGTGACCTCAGCGATATTTATGAATCAGCGATTTCGCCCTACTTTTGGCTAATTCCGTTGTTCCAGTCGACCAAACTCATAGCTATTTCTTTAGAACTCCATTTTTTTCTATCGACTGAGTACAAGAAACTGCCCATTTACCAATTTCAACTACCCAATAACGTGGTCAGAAATTTGCAATTTGGCCAATTTCACGAAAATTACAAAATATGACAATTTCAAAATAGGGTCCAGAATGAACAATGCAGACATTCCTGGCTCTAAAATAACATTTTCTTTGTTCATCAGTCATGTCTCCAGGCCCCTCTGATATTACTCTTGCTTTCTATTTTGAATTTCTATTCAAACAAAAAATAGAAGACTTACTGTTACGCAGACTACTGCAATATTGTAATAATTGTATAAATAACATCAACCCATTCATGACTGCATATAAGAATGGCTACTTGGACATTTATTGGAAAATGACATCATCTGTTTACTTTTGAACATCGGCAAAAATCAAACATTTCCCCTACTTTGAGCTCCATTTCAAGGTTCTTTTCATAGCAAAACCAATCAAAATCACCTCTATTTCTATAATATGTTTTCCATTCTATCAAATGAGACCAAGAAAATAAGATTACAACCATAAATACTATACGAAAATAGACCACAAAGTTGGCATTTTAATTAAAAAAAAAAAAAGAGGTCGGAGTTATTTTTTCTCATTATGCACTGCGTGCTGCAGGATTTTTTTTTTCTATTGTGCACACTGACCACACAGACCCATTCTCTCACATGTGGGCCTACCAGCTTTCTCCTGCTTGATTTGAAGCCGCTAGAATTTATGAGTATATATACGTCAAACACGGTGGCTCGTAAGACATATATATACAATCAAAACAGTCAAAGGGTTAACTGAGAGCTCAATAATCAACTGTTGTGTAAACAGCGAGATAAGCAGCCAGCATGAATTACTGGATATTATCAAATTTATTTGTTTAAGGTGGAATATGGTCACTGAGTGTAGTTTATACCAGAGTTTTCACTTCAGTGATATTATTTAAGAGTTTGTCCCACTCAGCCACAACTATTACCAAACCAGTGCTTTCCTATATACTTTCTAAATCTAAATTTTTTCCAACTTGCACTCACTGCTGCGAGTCCTGTCTTGGTTAGAAATTTGTAGCAAGATATTTATACCCCTTTTATTTATTCCTGGTTCTAAATAACCCCTATGGGTTTAGTACTTGCCTCCTAAATATAATAATAATGTAGGATAGTGGAATAAATATGAGAAGAATCTACCTAGCATTGGCCAGTAGGCCTACTAATGAGATCACAGGATATGAAAACACTTCATGTCTTGACTACTAATGCAATTTACTCCCATCTGTGAGACCTGAAAATGCAATCCCCGTGTTCTCAAGCCGGGGATAAGCAAAAATGTGATTAGTGAAGATGAAGTATAACCCCGCGTCCATTCCTGAGTGCGACTTATGACCAGTAATATATGGTAAGTCGACTTACAAAACAAAATGATAATAACTCCTATCCTACCATATTCTCCTTGAGTTTTGTTATAAAAGGTTCAATGAGTCATGTACAAAGCCACAACATATATTATTACATAGTCTCATCAAAATTGTGATAATACCTAACTTAATGTAGGACTAGTTTTACAACTTGTTTATTTATAATTAATCATACAGCATACCAGTAAAACAGATCGGAATACATTATTTCCAGGACAAATATTTAATGTTGAACATACAACAGTTTGTAACTTTCAAAATATATAGAAATTTATGAACATCAAAATATACCTAGATTACAAAGATAAATTAACATTTATTTTAAAATCACTCTTTACTTTTGGCAAGCCATTTATGTTGAATATTTCTGTTTTATATTCTGCAATGTCTGAACAATATTGTATGTTGCATCTTTCAAAAAAAGCTGACATAACAAATTTAACATTCTGGTAGCCATCAAGTCAGCATTTCTTTGCTTGTCTCCAGGCAGAGGAACACCTGCTAGCTATTCCTTTGGTAAGAATTTATCTGCTAATAACTAGATACTCAGACAACCAATATCTTTAACAATGATTACTTCCGACTCATCATTGGAGTTAGAGGTCACATCATCAGTGTCATGAGCTGCTTGGTGTCGTTTACGCTCATGTGCTTGCTGTTTCCTTAACTGCTTCTTTAATTCTTTGCGCTTAGAATTGGAGATATGCTGTGGGGAAAATAATAACAATAATAATATAATCTAAGTAATAATAATATACTGTAATAATAATACATATTAATAATATACAGATCCGCCATCACAAATCCAGCAATCAGTTATTCGGTTCCTTCAGTTATTCGGCACTAATTTTGGCTAGCATAATTTCAAATTTCCAGGGTCGCCACACCAACCTGCTGGTACTGTTTGGTGGCGCTACTTGCTGCATAAGTCATTCCAATTTCTTTTTCTCCATTTATTGTTTTACCCTGCTTACTTTTAGCCCTAGCCATGGTTCCAATGAATAAAAGAAATGCTTCTCATTATGTAAAGCACCTACACAGTACATTATCCATTAAAGATAAGGTGGCTTTGAAGCCACTGTCGGTTGCCATGAGCTCAGTCTCATGAAGCAGGAGAATATGCTTTATTATTATGCTAATATCAACACTACAACTTATTTGATCTAATATGACATAAGAAACAATATAAATAACATAAAACATGTTAAATACTCCAGAATGAATAATATTTGGCATAACACCAAGCAGTTCGATGGAGGTATGAAGAGGACATGGTATACAGATACCATTCTCCTATCCCTGTCTTGGTGGCTTATATTAGAGAAAATGGAGTGTAGCACAGGGCTAACTGTGATATACACTCGTACTGCACCATAAACCTGATTATCACACATAGCAGCGTATGTGTAGAGAACCTAGGATAACCCAAAAAGAGTCAACATGGCTTATTTTTAGTACCTGGCTTGGATTAGCCATACAGTGGACCCCCGGTTCGCGATGCTATCGGTATCCGATAAATCCAGTAACCGATGCATTACATCGCAGAAAATTTGCCTCACTTCCCGATACAAAACCCGGTATGCGATGTGGTTCGTACGAGACGTGTCCATGTGTGGCCTGAACTGCCCCGTGTGTGCCAGTGTTTACAAGCCAGCCAGTGTGCGCGCATCTAAGGATACATTCGGTACATTCCATATTATCCATATTATCACTGTTTTTGGTGCCTGTTTTTGCAAAATAAGTCACCATGGGCCCCAAGAAAGCTCCCAGTGCCAACCCTTCGAGACCAAGGGTGCTAATGACTGTTGAAATGAAGAAAGATATAATTGCAAAGTATGAAAGTGGAGTGCGTGTGTCGGAGCTGGTCAGGTTGTACAGTAAACCCCAATCAACCATCTCTACTATAGTGAGCAAGAAAACGGCAATCAAGGAAGCTGTTCTTGCAAAAGGTGCAACTGTGATTACGAAACAGCGACCGCAAGTGTTAGAAAATGCTGAGAGACTGTTATTGGTGTGGATAAATGAAAAGCAGATAGCAGGAGATAGCATCTCTCAAGCAATCATTTGTGAAAAGGCTAGGCAGTTGCATGACGATTTGGTAAAAAATTTGCCCTGCAACTAGTGGTGATGTGAGTGAATTTAAGGCCAGCAAAGGTTGGTTTGAAAGATTTAAGAATCGTAGTGGCATACATAGTGTGATTAGGCATGGTGAGGCTGCCAGTTATGTTGTGCGACAGAAGTCCAGTGACTCTCAAGCAGGTCCTAGTGGCATTAAAAGAAGAAGGGAAGTAACCCTGGAAAAGGACTTGCTACCTCAAGTCCTAATGGAGGGGGATTCCCCTTCTAAATGCTAACACCATCCACACTCTCCCCTCCTCCCCTCCCATCAATCATCACCAGATCTTCATTAACCCTTTGACTGTTTCAGGCCCCTCTCTGAAACTGTCATTCTATGTCGCTCAATTTTTAAAAAAAAAAAAAAAATTATTTTTTCTTATGAAATGATAGAGAATCTTTTCCCGATGGTAATGACACAAAAAGTTCGAAATTTGGTCGAAAACTCATGGAATTATGCTCCCGCGAAGTTAGTGGTCTCGGCGACATATGCGTATTGGCGATTTCGCTGACTTTGAGCCCTATTTTCAGCCAATTCCATTGTTCCAGTTGACCAAACTCATAGCTATTTCTTTAGAACTCCATTTTATCTATCAGCTGAGTACAAGAAACCTCCCATTTACTAATTTGGACTACCCAATATGGTGGTCAGAAATTGGCAATTTGGCCAATTTCACGCAAACTAAAAAAGATGCCAATTTCAAAATAGGGCCCAGAATAAACAAGGTAGACATTCGTGGCACTAAAATAACATGCTCTGTTCATTAGTCATATCTCTAGGCCCCTCTTATATTATTATTGCTTTCTATTTTGATTTTTTATTCATACAAAAAAAAAACAAAATTTACTGTTATGCAGGACTACTGCATTATTGTAAAAATGGTATAAATATAATATCAGTGCACTAGTGAAAGAATATTAGACTCCCCAGATGACGTGTATTGGACGTGTGGTGTGATTTATTTACTCCTGAACATTGGTAAAAATCGAACATTTCCGCTACTTTGAGCTCAGTTTCAAGGTCGTTTTCATTGTCAAAGTAATGAAAATCATCTCTATTTCTGTAATATGTTTTCCATTTTATCACCTAAGACCATGAAAACACGAATACAATGATAAATACTATACGAAAATACACCTCAAAGTCGGCGTTTTATTCCAAAAAAAACGATCAGTTTTTTTTTCTCATTACGCAATGTGTGCTGCAGGATTTTTTTTATGTGGTGCACACTGACCACACAGACCCATTCTCTCACATGTGGGCCTACCAGCTTTCTCCCGCTTGATTTGAAGCCGCTAGAATTATTGAGTATATATACGTCAGAAACACTGGCTCGTAAGACGTATTTATACGTCGAAAACAGTCAAAGGGTTAAAGGTAAGTGTCAATTATTCTTTCGTTATTTATTGTTATTGTTGTTATTGTTGTTATTGCATTAAACTTAATATTTCATGTGGTAAAAGTTTTTTTTTCACACTCTTGGGTGTCTTGCACAGATTAATTTGATTTCCATTATTTCTTATGGGGAAAATTGATTCACTTTCCGATATTTTTGGTTTACGATGAGCTCTCAGGAACGGATTAGTATCGCGAACCGGGGGTTCACTGTATATGATTTTTGGTAAATATTCGATTCCCAGCCAGGGTAGAAACATTAGGCATGTTTCTTTACACCTGTTGTCTATGTTTACCCATCAGTAAATGGGTACCTGGGTGTTAGTCGACTAGTGTGGGTGTTATCCTGGGACACTGACCTAATTTTCTTGAAATACTCAGCATAACAAGGGGCTTTCTATATAGATGTATGTCATTGATGTCAGCTAAGCCTGTATACCTTGTACATGTACATGTAGTAAATAAAGATATTATTATTATATTATTTTCTCAGTTGTTTGTTGGGTTATTTTATTCAAACTTGGGCAATGTATGATGGAAAGATACTTCTTCACGTACACCAAAAATGAAAGAAATCAGACCATAAATAACGGAGTTCACTTCTCAGCCATTAGCGGCCGCTTAGCGGTATATTTTTGTATGGTTGTTATGGTTATATTCTCATTTTTTCGGTCTCATTTGATAGAATGAAAGATATATTACAGAAATAGATATAATTTTGATTGCTTTTATGACGAAAAGTACATTGAAATTGCACTCACAGTAGCGAAAATGTTCTATTCTTTAGCGAATCTCAAGAGTAAACAAATGACATCACCGTCCAATACTTGTCCGCCTGCCAGTCTAAATTCCAGTACGGAGCCAAGAATGGCTTGACATTATTTATGCAATTATTACAATAATGCAGCAGTCTGCATAATAGTAAATCTTCTATTTATTGGTACATACAAATTCCAAATGGTAAGCAAGAGTAATATAAGAGGGGCCTGTAGCCGTGACTAATGAACAGAGAAAATGTTATTTTACTGCCAGGAATGTCTGCATTGTTTATTCTGGACCCTATTTTGAAATTGGCATCTGTTGAAATTTGTGTGAAATCGGCCAAATTGCCAATTTCTGACCACTTTATTGGGTAGTTGAAATAAGTGAATGGGCGGTTTCTTGTACTCAGTTGACAGACTAGAAGTAAATAAGTTTATTCAGGTATACCAAATACGTTAAAATAGTTATCATACAAAAGCAGTGTATGTAAGAAAAAATAGGATATTTTTTATAATCAAAAAAGAAGCGCTAAGCCCAAGGGCTTTTAAAAGTGCGGGGCGGGGTGGGGAAAGGGAAAGCAGGGGTATTGGAGGGCAAAAGGGGAGGGGGATGATCAAAAGGTTACGGGAAAAACAGTGGAGCAGGGGATAGTACAGGGGTAGGGGGGTAGCAAGAGTTTTAAAAGTAGAAAGGGCTAAAGGTATCAAAAATTTGGAATTTAATTTCATTTTTGTTGTAAAAAAGTCAATGAAGAGTCTGGATAAAAGGGGGGTCCACCCGCGAAAAGGGGAAGGAAAAAGAGAGAGCAGCAAGCGAAGACGACGACGGAGGGAAAATTTCTCGTGCTCGTTGATAAATTTGGGCCCTTTTTCCAAACGGGAAATGGGGCCCGACTGATAATGGAACTTGGAAATTTCCCTCCAGAGAGGAGCAGGGCGCCTCCCCATGAGAAAACCCATGGGGAAGAGGGAGTAGGGCCCAATGCGAAGACGGGGAGAGTAGTTCCCCAACCTTGACACTGGTGAAAAGGGAAACGGCCAGTAACCTATACTCGGTTTAAAAATTTGGGAATTTTGTTGCCGAGCATATTTAGCCCAAAACTTTGTTGCCAAGGGGTGTAATTTGGGGGAAGAATTGCAGAAAAAATAGCCCGAAAATGGAATACCTCTACATGAAACTGGTGGGTTCATTTTACTCCCTGACCGCGCAGCATTGTCTGCCTTTTCCCTTTCCCCCTGTACGTCAAAGGGCCCAGGGACCCAAAAAAAAAACTATTTTTAAATGTTGGAAAAAAGATGTGGCATAGCCAAATTTTGGATAGGGAAAGGACAAAGGGGGTGGGTGTACAAATTTCGGGTATAGCCTTTTAAAAGCACAAAGGGGGAGTTTTGGGAAAACCCCCAAATAAAGTACAGGCAAAGTTTCAATAGGGG